ATATTGACGCCGGGCTCGCACTCCGACTGACGATACGATAGTTTGATTGTCACAAACGGCGCGTACCATTCGTCGGTGAAGGGTTCGGGTTTTGCTATCATTTGAACGTTTCTAAGCAAAGTTGGGAAAACAAATGAAAGAAATGACAAACAATGAAAAGAGAAGAATATGTTAGATATAAATGATGGCATAAAAGATGGACTAAATTATTCAAAACTTGGGTTGAATTTATGTTTGAAAAGTTAAATGGATTTTCACTGTTTGCTTATAAGTGAGGCCTAAAAATGCTTTTTATTCTAAACAATTTCATACATAATATTATTTTTAAAAATAAACATAAAAATGGATTCAAAACTAAGAACTTTTGCAGTGAATCCCATAATAAATAATAAGTGGATTTCATGTGAGAAAGTATTGTCTAAATTAAAGTCATAAAAATAATAAGAAAATTAACAAAATTTTGTAAATCCGTGACCAGAATAACGATTTTCAACAACAAAATGACAAAAATAGTTTGCGTTTGACTTTAACTCTACGCAAACTAATCGATAATCATATCCCATATGATATAAATTTGGCGCAAACTATCCAATAGTGTCTAAAATTAGTATTACTTCTCTAATCATTCATTAAAACAAAACTAAAATTTTCTGTTAAAATACGTCAAACTTATGGATGGGATCACAACCTCGACAAAGGGTTTCTTTGGGTATATCTTAGATAATAAATACGCTAAATATTTGCGTCTATTATTCACTAATTATGTGTCTTATGTCACGTTCACCACCAATACTATGTGTTAACACATACTGTACTGTACTGTACATGGTAGTTATGTCATATTAGTGGTAATTTTATGTATTTTAATTCATTTTATTAACCACAATTAAAACCAAATTACCAACCAATATAGAATAATGTAATTTACTTAATATTCTCAACAAAAATATATAACTTATGTCTTTATCTCTAAAGATGTACTTAAAAAACTCTTATCGACTAATTAACACATGTTTATACTGTAGTACTTTTATAACAAATAAAACTTTTATAACTAATATTTGTTTAACTGACACTTTAGGCTAATAATCAATTAGATTATATTATTAATAAATTAAGATTTAATTGTGATATAATGTTAGCATTAATTAAATAATTAATGAGATATCGTAATGAAATGCAGGGATATTCACATAAAACAATTTCAAGAATATTATAGACAAATACTTTGCTATAATTTTCATTATATCTCAATAAGAGGTTTGTTTTGTATAAAACTTTTAGTTTAATTTAAGCAAACTTTTATTAGTGTTTATTTAAGACAATTTGCTTCCAAAACAAGTTATAAGACAAGTATTAGCTCTAAATAAATACAAATTCTGGTCATCAATGAAAGCCGGGATTTGTTGGATAACAATGTGTTCATCGGATATATAAACAAACCGATCGACAGATAACAGAGTCAATAAGTGTTGCCTATTGTGGACATTCAGTGATAGTTGTGTTACAATTGAGTCCCATTTCACGACAGCTTCACATAAAGCCAACATTTGCTTCAAATAATACATTTGTTTGGCAATCGATGAAAACTACTTAACCTTATCTTCACTTTCTCTTTGATATACTGTTTAATTGGATTCTTTAGATTCACTCTTTGGGCTCTCAATCACTCTTTTTGCCAATTATTGCTGATTTATAAACCCATCGATTCTCATATAATTAACCTTTTAGTTCATTAAAGTTCACATAATGTATTCATCAATCGTTTATTTTTAAACATTATTTTAATAGTATAGAGCAAAACATTTGATACAATTAACAAATTTATTAAATTTATATTCAAATATACAAAATGATTGTTGTGTTAACACAAATTAAGTAAATCACAGGCAGTTTAAGCATTCATTATTGCAATTAGTTTCAATAATTTGATGATATGGTTAACTTATGGTTAACTTTCATTCATATTAAACCATTAAAAAGAAGTTCATTAATAGATTGTAGTAATTAATACTTAATGAAAGTGTGTAATCAAAGACCTATTGCCTCAAGCATTCATAAGATCCGGTACTGACTGAGTGTTGACCAGAGCTTTGCAATACTTCTTGCAATGTGTCTAAAATTGGGAACATTTGTGGAAAATCTGTTGGGATTTTCCTAAACTTTGATTGTTATGATTCATCGATTCAATGGAAGAAATTGAATTAGATTTAAGGTTAAAAATATAGCAATTCTTAAGAAATGTTTAGCAAAATAGTTTAAAAGTGAGTGCAGTCTTAAAATTACAATAAATACAAGTGTATAAAATGTAAAATGTTGTCAAAATCAAATTGTCATTATTAAAAGTGATATTTAAAAAAATTGCGATTAACTATGGGATAAGTGTGAGAATACAGTAAAACAGTAGTTATAAAAATCAAATCATAATTAAGTCAAATACTCGTGTAATAAGTGCTCAATAAGTAATCAATACTTGAATTACAATCAAATCAATTACCATAATATCGTATTTCTTGCAAACAATGATCGGTTAATTCAATGTCAGCTCTCTATGGATATTATGGATAATTAATTTACTTAATTGTAAACTCATTGCAAATATCAAACAGTTATCGTCTATTCTTTATGCAGTTTTGACAATAACTTAATTAAATCAAACATTACGTCAACCCATGAATGCCTCTTTCAATGGGTTTTTTGTTTATTGTCTCAAATAATATCAGATTATGAGATCCGTTGCCATAAGAACTATAACATTATTTATAGTTGCCATTAGTTTTCATTAACTTTCTATTTAAAGCATTAAAACAGTTAACAATTTGTTCATTCATTTAATGCTTTAAATGTTTATCACATTTGGTATTGAATTCTCAGACATATATTGAGCCACGAGTTATGCATTACATCAATGATTGGGTCCGCTTTGGCCCTCACATCGCATGTCATTCACAATCAAATTATATCTCTTTTCCATCCATTTCAAGGATTTGTCATCTTTTTTATCATTTCCATTGTATTCATCATTTGTTCATTCATTTCAATCCGTTTCCAATCATTGTATTCAATGATTTCCATAATTAGTTACATCTCATCCAGTCTTTCGACTGAATCTCATTCAATCAAATCAATGATTTAATCATTTCATCAAATCATACAACAACTCAATCATGAGTCGAATAATCAGTTTCTCATTTAATTAGCGATTAATAATGAATTAAATCATAAATCAAATCAAAGTTTACGTAAAAATTAGAAATTTAGGAAATAATTGGTTAATAAAGACAAAAAACATAGTTATCTGAACTTCGAGTTCATTATCATTGAAAAGCAATGGGGAATACGTTTTCATATAAATATTTCATTCATTCACATGAAAACCTCAATTCAAAGACATCAAGAGATTCGATGGGTTGTTATAAATGGAAATTAAAAATGGATAACAATTTATAATTTATACGAATTAAATGTCATTATAGGAAAGTCAGAATATTTAGTTAGAAATGATTTTTAAACCACAATTACAATTAAAATCCCATAATTATCGCAATCTTATCACTAAAGAGAATTATAATATTTTGGTTTTGGCTTAACTTATATGTTATTCCTATAAAATACAAAAAAGGGTAACGAAATTAATTAGTTTTAATAATACCAACAAAAAAAATGAATCGCTTTTGTTGTGGGAATAGGTTTTGGTATAACATAGAGAGGGAGTGATTTGGGGGGAAAATAATGTAATGAAATGATAGGAAGTGTTATAAAGTAAGGGGAAAAAGAGATTAATGAACGATAATTGACGAGAAATCGACGATTAGATTAGACTTCAGTCGCCCATCGATGAGACTCTCATATTATGGGAGAGTTATATACATTCATATTATTGTCAAATTAGATATTCTTTTCATTGATTCAAATAATAATTAGTCGTCGAATGCAAAGCATATTCAGTCCCATCCGCTGTCCTCCACTTTGGCCGGAGTGTCGGCCGGCTTTGAAGCGCTGTTTGAGCCGAGAATGTTTCCCCAATCAATCTCTTCAGTCTTGGCGGCGGGTTTCGTGTCCGAAGAAGAGCCCCAATCGTCGCCATCAGTGGCTGCAGTCTTTGCCGGAGCGGACGAAGTGGTGGTCGGCGTCCCCCAGTCGTCAGCAGCGGCCGGTTTAGCATCAGTTGTGCCCCAATCGTTGCTCGACGCAGGCTTACTGTCAGTAGTGCCCCAATCGCCGCCCCAATCGCCAGAACCGCCGCCAGAAGAGCCCTTGTCGTCGCCCCACGACGAGCCCCCACCGCCGTAGCCGCCACCTCCTCGACCGCGACCTCTGCCTCTGTTTTCAACGATACAAATAATGGTTTACAACAATTAGATTAAGAAAACCAATAGTAATAGTGAGTTAGTGTTGGATCGGATGGCCCTATGCCTCAGTCCACATGAGTTCGCTGAACAAACTTTGGCATCAATTAACAATTGTTAGCATTTTTTCTCGTCATTTCCATCACATGAAACACAGACATAACAATTGAATACAAACCCTCCGCGTCCGCGACCGCCGCCACCAAACGATGAGTCGTCCTTTTTGGGGCACTCGCGCGAGAAGTGGCCCTCTTCTTGGCAGTGGAAACAACCCCTACCTCTGCCGCCACCACCACCTCTACCGCCGCCACGACTTCCGCTCGAATTGGGACACTCTCTGGAGTAGTGGCCCTCTTCTCCGCACCGATGACAGGAACCGCCACCGCCTCCTCCACGGCCTCGTCCACGACCGCCACCGCCGCGACTGCTCGACGAGTCACCCCAACCGCCATTTGAAGTGGAAGTGCCCCACGAATCGGTCGCCGTATTAGTCGACGGCGAAGCAGAAGAAGCGCCCCAATCGTCGTTATTTGATCCAAAATTGTCGGTCCGCTGCCTCTTATTGCCTCTCTATTTGGCGCCAAAATCAACACATAATGAGTGATCAAATCAATGGTCAACAATCGGGAGAGCGCTTACGTCTGAGCCATTGTTGGAGACCTCGTTATTGGTCTTCTTCTGGACGATGACATTCCTTCCGCCGATTTTCTTCCCGTTTTCGATTCGGATCGCGTGATCGCAACTCAATTCGCTTTCGTAATCCAAATAACAGGTCGTCTTGTTTTCGTCGCCGAATCCTAAACACCAATCAAAACACAGACCAATCATTAGTCTCTACGGCAAAGACAAGCGGCGCTTTTGGCGGCAACGCGTCCATCAGTTGATCCGCTCGTATATGACATACTGTGGTCGAGAATAATGCGCGAAACTCGTCCGTATCGGCCAAACGTGGCGCGGATCTCATTGCAGTTGATCTCCGCCGGCAACTTCTGGATCTCGAGCTGTGCCACCACTTGCAGCGCATTCTTCGGCGCAGAGCTATTGTTGTGGTTATTATAGCTGTGATTGGCGTTGGAGTTGTTGTGAGAGCCAAACGAGTTGTTGGAGGGCTGATCCCAACCGTCCATTGTCTGTGACCATCAAAACAAAGACAGATCTAATGGTTAGTATTCATGGTATGACACAAAGAGTGGACACAAAAACACATGTGTTTTTTCAATAGACTTGTGTCGCGCTTAATGTGTCACCTCTTGTCTTGAGATGTGTTGTCAGTAGTGTTTTGTGTGACTATAGTGTTGTCGGATGTGTTGAGAGCGACGGCAAGTGTTGGCCAAAGAGGTGGTGAATGTGTGGTGAGGTTTAGGACATGATATGACTGATTGAATGGCAATAATAAAGAGGTTTCGTATTTGAAAAGCGATTTCTTTTTCAACTGTTTGTTTCAAAGCGTTTGTAGTTTTAAGCGTTGAGTCTATGGAGAAGTCGTGCACTCAATGCACAGCCAATACTAACGACACCTGTGTTTCAGACCCTATTAAACATTGATGTAATACTTGTATCACTTTTTATTCACACAATTTAATTACTGTTAGATTTATCAATGATTTTAAAATTATTTTTTGCTTATTTAGCGGTTAATGCTTTTCCTATTAAATTAAATGATTGTCACATTGATTATGACTTGTAATTTATATGCTTAACGTTGTTGTTAAGCCTTATGCTAATTATATGACTTTTTGTAAAGATTTTAGAAATGATCAAGGGTGATTTAGATTTATAAATATATTTTTAATGATTTTAATTAACAAAAAGACACATTTGGTTACAAATTGCGAAATAATTATAGAGAATTATAAAATAATTAATAATTTATTTCTACAAATGTATAGAAAAGTTACATTTATCTTAAAGAACATAATTATCTCTATTTATGGTTAAAATATAAAGTTTTAGTTAGATTTGGTTGAGCTCTCGGATGATGTGGTGGTCTCTATAAGTGGTGACTGTTCTTGAGATTGACTTTTAGAGTCACTTTCGACCAAAGATGGTATGATTTGTGGCCTAAAAATATCGGCGAAATTAATGGGAATTATGGTATTGTGGAAGTGTTGCGACGATTCAATGTCTGAGGCATTAATCGTGTGAACACTTGTATCGTTTGGCAGAACTGGCGGTAAAAGTCGCTCCAGACTTTGTCTGAGGGCGGGGTCTGAGTGATACTCAGTGGGTATTTGAGTGATTGTGGGCATCGGAAGGATGAATGAAGTGGTCTCTCGGCTTACTTTCACCGAATCGTGTGGAAGAGTGACGGCAATTGACTTTTCGTTCTCAGCGGTCGCGGCGACGGCCGGCACCGACTCTAACGGTTCGCGACGTTCGTTCACATTAGAGGCGGCGACGAAGAGTGAAGGCATCGGAAGTGGAGTCGAGCCGTTTGCTTGTGAGCCCAGCAGTCGGTCCGGAGAGACAACTAACGGCATCACCACAAGAGGGTCTTCTCTTTGGTCAAAACTTGAGCGACCGCTTACTGGAGGCGTCGGACCAGTGAACTGATTGTTAGGGAACGGAAGGCCTCCGAAAGGCATGGATGACGCGGGAGAGGGCCGAGAGAACTCGTCGGCGAAATTACTGTTGGCGTTGTTGGCAAAGGTTGAGCCGACTTCTGTGGATCCGATGTTTGGCAGAGAATCGGTGTTAAAGTTTGTGTTCGGGTTTTGCGCTCCAAAACCAGAAACGCGTGAATCAAACGATGGAATTCTTGAATCAAAGTTTGTGAAGCCATTTGTCTGCAAATTTTGTCCGTTGTTTATATTGGGTCTCGTATTCAATAAGAAAGATGGGATCTCTTGCGCTCTCATCTCAACAATTGGTATTTGCAGTGTATTTTGTGGTTGACTTTGAGGTATGCCTCGAGTTATAACTTGCGGTGTATTCTGAGTGAAACTGTTGGGAATATTGATGACATTTGTTGGCGATAGTTGTCCAACAAATTCTTGTGGAATCGTCTGACTTTCAGGAGTGTTAGCCCTTGTGTTCACTGGGTTTGAATCGCCAAATGCAAAGACTTGATCGTTAAGACTGATTTGGCCATTCATGGGAAGCATTGCAAAGATGTTGGGCATAAATGAACGCACATCTGGTAGTGTGGCTCTCGATGAAGAAGCCAACAAAAGCAGCGAAAGTACTGAAAACTGATTGAAATTTGATTGAAAAATTTGTCAATTAAAACATTTATCGTTTACTTACAAGCATTTTGATATGTTATATGAATTCTTGTGTCTGAAATCCAATAGTCCTGGCGATTGAATGAAAGTTTTTAAGCCAAAGCGAAAGCTTTTATTTTCATTTATAGCCTCTAAAATTTAGAGTCTAAATAATAGGGAAGACTGAGTGACCCTAATATCGAGTAAATCTCAACATTAGTTGTGAAGAGCACTTGAGAGGAATGGAAAAGGGCTTAAGGTCTAGGTTTGGGTTTATGGGTCACACCATTTCCTGATTACCGGCTCTCTCTTTCTAAATCGTTACTCCATTCAAAGCAAACACTTTCCCAAAAAAATGTCAAAAACACGTCAATTGTTTGATTCTTTTCTAAATATAGAAAATTTTGTTTCAAATTCTTAACGAAATTAGATTTTTATAGCAATAACTTATTTCCCAAGTAATCGACAAATTAGAGCAATAATGAAATGAAAACACACAAAATTTACAAAATATACTATTTATTCTATAAACCATTATTGAAAATATATATTAACCTTAAAACAAATATTTAAACAATTTTCGGGTATAATATTAAGTATTAATTTATAACAAAAAACACATTGATTTCCAAAAATAAAAAATTAATTTATCATTCATTGATGAAGTATTCATTTAAAAAAGTTACTAAACATTCCAGACATAGAAATATGTTTTCTGCCATTCGGGCAGATATTCAATGAGTGGTCGTATGAGTCGTCCGAAGAGTGGGATGTGATTCGCCATAAAACTCATAATCGTTAGGATCTTCTCTTTGGTGTAATTGTCATAAAAAGGAGATCTCAACAGATATAACAATAAATTGAAAGTTCTTTGACTTAATTCTATCCTTTCGTTAAAATTCCAGAGTTTGTTCGGCGGATCACTTAAGAGGCGAAGACTGGCCACATCCAGACCCGCAGACACCAGATATGGCGCCCACGAGCCCACACCAAAACCAGCCAATGCTGTCAAGTGGGCCACCGGTCGCATGATATGCAATATTTCGCCGATTGTCTGCATTTCTGATAAGTCAGACGGAAGTGCTGTTCGCTTTTGTTTATCTAATATCCGTTTTATATTGAAGTTCTCTTGAGGTGAGAGCCATGTCCTCTGCGGACGCGGCGGTGCCTTCTCTATGGTTCGCAATACACGACCCGTCCGTTTGAGCTTAAATGTCGATAACTTGATGTCCTCTTCGCTGACATCTGTCGACGAACACGCGTTCAAACCATTAGAACCGTTCTCAGCAACGACTGACAGATCGCGGGTTCGATCCAATGGTGGTATGAGTTGATGGCATTGAAGCCCCCGATTGTACTTTAATAGCAGTACTAAACGTATCACAACTCTATTCACAATTTAAAAAATACATTACATTTTGATTGCAAACAAAGTCTTAAATGAAGTACTTCGCGATCTGAATGACAGATACGATAATCCATTTGCCGATCGATCCGTAGACACGATATGCCGTCAACTCCGAGAAGACTTGAATGTATTCAACGAAAGTCAACACTAACTCAAGATTCTCGACAATCGGGTTCTGGAGATGACATCAAACACATCATCAGAGATGGCAAAGAGCCGCAAGACTACAGACATTCAATGATTATCTCAATACTCACGGCATTGATCTTAATATTGAAAGACTTGCGAAGAAGTGTGTCATTGAATAGGGAGAGCAATGAAGAGCAGGAATACAACAACTCAGAGATTACGTGATTGTTATTCAGTTTTGTTGCTATCGTTTGACAAAAATATAAACAAATCAATGAGTGATTTAAAGGGCGAAAAGTGAGACCAAAACCACAAATACCTGTAATTAGATATGAAATCCAACGCAAAGCGGACTCTATTTCGGAGACAACCAAAGGGTTGTGTTTAAGGAATGCCTTGTATTTACAAAATTGCTTTTTAATGGCATTTAACGCCAATTCAGTCGACGTTTCCATCATTTCAATCAAATCCGACAATCAATTCATTCATGCATTCAATTCATTATGAATTGCATAACAATTGGCCACAAATGACGTCTATATTACTCAACCGCTCGTCCATTGAGTTAACATAAAGAGGGCGTTAAAGACATCGAAATATTTATTTTGATTCAAATTTAACCACAATTTAGAGGAAATCAATTGAATTGAAACACATTATGAACACAACATTTACACTAATTATGCAATAAATGTCATATAATTAACGTTTGGCTCAAAAATGGGCTCAATTTAGGGGAAATACCCAAACATTTATGTATATGTCGTCCGAAACAAAGAAATGGTAATCATTAACACAAATGCATTTAAATTACATTTAATTAACAATTTATAACTATAGACACCATTAATATCGCAATTAAAACATTGTTTCATTCATTAAACCCTTGAATACAATCAAAATGAGTCATTTAGTGGCCAAATATGACGGCCAATGAGTGGCCATTTGTATGGCTATTACGGCTAAATTGGATGCGATATTAAATTCAATGAACGTATTATTAATCATAGATTTGTGTGAAATGCATGCGAAATGTGTTTTAATTGTAATTAAAGTGCAATTAATTGTTTAACAAGAAGTGAGTGTTTGTGCGAAAGCGATATATTGTCTCACATTTGCGTCGATGGATGTCATGGCTGTCAACACACACTCACTCTCAGCCCTCACAGACTCGTCGCACACACCGGTCCTCCCCGTAGGCAACACCTCATCCCCGGCCAGCGCTCACCCGTCCGACACAACTCGACCCGCAGTTAATACGAGTCATAGAAAACACGGCCATCGGGTGGTCGGGAGTGAGGGGTTGGGTATGGGGTGTATGTGTGCGGCAGTGTTGCCCATAAGTGGTGCAGTGGTGTGTGTTGTGTGGGAGCGTGTGATTGGTTGGCTGAGTGTTGCCCCCCGTGTGTCGCACAACGCTTAGTGTTGACTGCGTTTATGCTTTAGTCCCGATAGGAGTCCGTATGGAAAGGGAGGCTATATTTCTCTGCCATTGAGTTTGCATTGAGTTTTTGGTTCGCATTGAAAATGAATGCCAATTACGACACACAGAGTGGTTGTGCTCTACAATACATACTATATGTTTGGCGTTCAGTCATACCATGTCTTATGGCTGACCGACACTCGCTTGTCATCGCAGGCATTGGTTAACACAACTCTATCACCATTTGAGCCGATAATTAACCCCCAAATTAATCATACGATCGTCGCTAACGATTGTCGTCACCAATTGATCCCACGTATTGTGTCCGGCGATGGATAGGCGACCAAAAGCGACCATCAATTGTCTCGTTTAGTGGTTTCACATCCCATTGAAACACTCGCTTAGCGTCGAGTCGACTGAGCGTTGGGTGAGTTTTGTTGCACTCATTATTGCATTACTTGTTATTTATTATAACACTTATAAACCACTCGTCAATGCATTTCAATCGGCGTTTCGTTACGTGTTTTCAATTGTTTCGCTTATTATTAGCGCTTTTTTGTGTCCAAAAAAACAACTAATGGTTTTGTTTTGCCGATTGAAGTGATCGCTCGGTCTTAGCGCTAGTCTTCGGCGGCGATGACGACCTCATCGGAGGACGTGTTGCGAGTGGTGGAGAACGTGAGGATGAAGAAGGCCGACGGCAGCCTCTATATGATGGCCGAACGCATCGCGTGGATGCCCAACAACGGGAAGCAAGTCTTCACCATTTCTCACAAATACGCCGACATTAAGACACAGAAGATATCGCCCGACGGGAAGCCCAAGATTCAGCTGCAGGTGGTGTTGGACTCCGGCAGCGATACCTTTCATTTCGTGAACCCTTCGGGAGTCGAGAGTCAACTCCACGACCGAAACGAAGTGAAGGAACTCTTACAACAATTGTTACCCAAATTCAAGCGAAAACTATCCAAAGAGATCGAAGAGAAGAGCCGTATACTGAACGAAGACCCGGAACTCTTTGGCTTATATAAAGAGTTGGTCACCTCTAATATCATTAGTGCCGAAGAGTTTTGGGCCAATTATGCCACCAAAAGACGTGACTTCAAAGGTATGTCATCCATAAGTCGATTACTTTTATATTTGATGTTTAGATTTTTATCGCAGTTTCAATGACTTTGAACTGATTTTTTTGCTATCAATTATGCGATTAATTTTCTCTCAATTAGTTATCAAAAGTCTATTGTAAACAAAATACTTGATATTTGCGTGAATTGATTGTGATTTAAAATTTTTGAATATCTGAAATGTAGACAAAAGCGAACCGAACGGCCAAAGGGTTGGCGTTTCGGCCGCTTTTCTGGCGGACATTCAGCCGCAAGTGGACGGATGTAATGGAATCAAATACAATATCTCCAAAGACATCATAGACGCCATCTTCAGTACATATCCGGCCGTTAAGAGGAAACACTTCGATACCGTTCCCCATAAAGTGTCTGAACAGGAGTTCTGGCAGAAGTTCTTTCAGTCCCATTACTTCCATAGAGACCGCAACTCTTCGACCAAAGATTTCTTCAACGATTACTCTAATCATGACATCGAAAGTGCATTAAGAAGAGGTATAATCGATCCGTTCGTTGACTTGTCGTCGATGGACGACAATGCGATGACTTCGACAGACACTCGCGAAGAGAGGGAAAAGCTTAGAAACGAATCGTTGAATTCGTTGGCGAATACAAATCAGGCACTGATTAAGCGATTTAATCACCACTCGATTAAAGTGTTGGAGTCATCGATGAACAGGAGTTCTGAGAATGGGGTCAACGCTTCCAAAGAGGCGAACCCTTCGCCCGTACTTAACGGTCACGTCTCGAAGAAGTCTAAAACGTCTCACTCTTCGGCCACCACAACGATAACGCCTGTCATCGACGACAGCGAACTCAACGCCATTCAAGAAGAGAGGGATCACATGAAGAGATTAAAACTGGAAGAGAAGACCCAAATGGACGACTTGGAGGACGTCGATAGTCAGAAAGTGAAGATACCTGTGCTTAACATTAAGAACAGAGACCGCTATCTCGCGGGTCCCATACCTAACGGCGACTGTGATATCTATAATAATAGTTATTCCTATGAAAGCAATCATAACAATAATGTAGACAATAATAGTATGTATGACTCGTGCGTCCAAATGGACAATTTGGTGGCCAATTGGCGGCCGCGGTGTCAGAGCGCTCTCAACTCGGGCTCTGCCATCTCTGCCTTATCTGAGTTGTCTCCGGGAGGGCTTCTCATGAAGACATCCCATTCGACGAATCTTAAAGACGAAGTGCCGCTCGACGTCCAGAAGGAGCTCAAGAATTTGACGTTCGCTTTGAATGAGTTGTTACGGCATTTCTGGTCCTGTTTTCCGGCGACGTCTCCGCAGATCGAAGACAAGTTATACCAAATGAAGAGCACTTTAGAGCGCTTTCAATACGCAAAGCTTCAGCCCTTTAAAGACAAACTGAGCCGAGAATACCATACGACAGACGTAAGCCATTCATTCATTTCAATGTACGGTAACTCAATTGAAAGCTAATTGTTGTGTGTTTTGAATGCTTATCAATAGCTAACACTTCATCTCTCAAACCAAATTCAAGTGGCGTTCAGTCGATTCACTTCATGGCAGGCGAAGAAGAATGCACTCAATGTTAGGAAATGAATACGAAATGTTATTTTTCATCCGATTCTTTGTCAGTCTATTATGTTATTAAAACATCTCTAATAATATTTTTTAACTAAAAAATTGTATATTTTGTCAAATTGTAAATCATTTATAAAAACATTTATTAAAGCAATTTCTAATCACTAAATAAAATAATTGTTAAATTGAATAATATTTTGAATTATTTACTGTTTGCCTGTCTTTTACAGACTGTTAATATCAAACGAATTGATTACTTATTAATGGCTTACTGTAAGAGTAGTCTCGCATAGAGTTACGCCCTTTGAGTTGACGCATGCATTCAAATGCATTTTACGCCCATTATACGGTAATGAGCAACCAAACCCCGAAGTTTTACCGAATTGATACTCTTACTTTTTTAGCATAAACTTAAACTTAATTTTAATTAAACAAAATTTGTTTGTAAATTTCAATCTTTTCTACAGTTTAATGATGTATGGCTCGGAAATGATCGCCTCAGCCATACCTCAAGTCATACCTCAAGCTATACCTCCAGAATCGCAAACTATATTAGAAACAGTGGCCAAAGGAGGAGCTCCTCTAGAGGCCGACAATGAGGGCCAACACATCCTATCGTTTGCTATCGCAGACGCCGGTGATTGTAGTCGTGGAGACTTGACTCCAGTCACCAATTGTTGTCTTAAGAAGAGATGTTACGAAAATGTTTTGCCCAAAACACAGAACGATCTCTTCAACTGGTATTCAAATTAATTGTTTTTTCCCGTAAAATGTATTGAAAACTAATTTGAATCCATTTGAAGCTTTTGGCGAATCGGAGACTACGCTAAACAGAACTACTTCTTAGTGGGACTAATGGCCGCTCAAACTCCTAAACAAGTAACGAGTCGTCCTCTCAAGAAGAATAAGAGCTTGAGTTGGAAGTATTGGGTTGACATCCGGGGCCGCAAAGTGCAGGTCTGTAAGGGTTTCTTTCTGGCCGTGTATGGCGTGTCCGACAAAAGGC